ATCATAATGTCACATGTAGCATATAGGAGCCAGGTGCTCTTCTAAGTGCCTTTGATATATCAAATCAGTTAAAGTTTACCACTGTGGTGCAGGATAGGGACAATTCTATCTCCACTTATAGATCAGGAAATGGAGGCAGAGAGGTAAGTAACTGACAAGGGGTCACATGCAAATAAGATGGCACATCTGCTGTTACTAGTGTGACAGCCATGTGGTGGTGTGTCTTCTAATTGTGCTTCTGCCTAGGACAGTGATTTCAGATGTTTGTGAAATTGTAGCATCCAGTTGAAATTCAGGTCTGGTATACCTTTCATATGTACATTTATTAGTACTTTTTAATACAGTTTATATTGCTAAACATTCAATAAACCTTTTATTGAAGTATTAATGCAAAATAATGAATAAATCATAAGAAAAGAAAATGCATAATTTTGAATTATTACAAAATGAGTACACCCAGGACAAGAAGTAGAATATCACCAAGCCACAGAGGCACCTATATATAGGCTCCCTCCCATCTACCCAATTGTAACCAGCATTCTGACTTTTTGTTTCTGAACTTTTCGTATGCTTTATTTATTTATTTATTTTTAAATTTTTATTTTAGAGAGGAAGAGAGAAGGAGACAGAGGTAAAAACATCAATACTGAGAGAGAATCATCAGTTGGCTGCCTCTTGCAAGTCCCACACTGGGAATTGAGCCTGCAACCCAGGCCCTGAGCAGGAATAGAACTGTGACCTCCTGGTTCATAGGTTGATGCTCAACCACTGAGCCATGCCGGCCGTCAATACGCTTATTTTTAAAGTGAATCAAAATTTGGGGAAAGCTTTAGTATTCCTTTAAGTCCAATAGAAACATCCTAGGGTGTTATGAATTGAGTGGGTTTCTGGCGTTTGCTTCCTAAATATTTAGTTTTATTTGAGACTAGAGGCCTAGTGGGGTCCCTCAGCCTGGCCCACAGGATCGGGCCAAAAACAGCTCTCCGACATCCTACGAGGGGTCCCGAATTGCGAGAGGGTGCAGGCCAGGCTGAGTGACCCCTCTGGTGAACAATCTGGGCCAGGGAGAAATGCGGGAGGTTGGCCAGCCAGGGAGGTACCGCAGAAGGGCTCCAGGGCGTGTCCGGCCCTTCTCGCTCAGTCCTGATCGGCCGGACCCCAGCAGCAAGCTAATCTATGTGTCGGAGCGTCTGCCCCCTGGTGGTCAGTGCACATCATAGCGACTGGTTGACCGGTTGACACTCTGCCCCTGGTGGTCAGTGCACATCATAGTGACTGCTCAGCCGGTCAACTGTCTGTACCCTGGTGGTCAGTGCACGTCATACAGAGTGGTTGAGTGGCCTTAGCATATCATTAGCATATTACACTTTGATTGGTTGAATGGCCGACCGGTCGACTGGACACTTAGCATATTAGGCTTTTATTATATAGGATAGGATTCTGGTGTGAAGAACTTATACCCTGAGTAGAATGATCTTTGTGGTGTACATCACTGTCAGTATCTGTGAAGGATGGGAGACTGGCAGGTTAGCAGTGACCCTGCCACAGTTTTCTAGATGAGGCAGCAGACAGGGACTCTGGTCAGAGAGAAAGGGCCTGTTATGCATGGTACAGCAGGCTTTATGTGCATCTGTTACCCTGTGCCCCAGGTTTTCAGGACCCTAGTACATGCTGCACACAGTGTGGGTTTGTGTTACAGCAAGGAATCCTCCAAATTTATAAGGGGTCTGCTAGCAAACCTTCCTAACCCTTATCTCCAAGAGGACAGTATCCTGTTACCAGAAGGGAGACACCATCTACAGCTGTGAGAAAGATAGTCTGGGATAGACCCTGACACCAGATGTGGAGAAATACCATGGAGAATTGCCTCTCAATAATGTCCACCTCTTGTTTCTGTATCATCTTGGTCTTGATGAATATTCCCATTTCACTCCATCAGCCACTCTGGTTAATTTGACTGGGACCAGATCTGTGCAGTTTATATAACAGTATTAAGGCTGCCATCAGTAGGATTCCAAACAGCAGGATGAAGCCAGCCTGCAACATGGACCTCAGCCAGGCTGAGGGTCCTCACTGGACAACAGTATAAACCATGAGTTTCTGTTCCATTAATTTGGTCACAAAGTGTTCTCTGAGTTAGGATTATGAACAAAATACCTGTCCTCTGGGAGCTTACAGTCAAATAAGTGGTCATTCTGCCTCATACAGGTATAGTGAGTGTGCCAGGTCTACACAGCCTCATGGGGGGGGGGGGGCGGGCGGGCAGGGAGAGGTAAGGGCTGGGTGCACCAGGGTCTCTCACTCTAGAGAGATTGCGGTGGCAGTGCAGGATGCTTTGGGGTGGCAAATGCCAAAGGCAGGAGACCCATTAGACTGTTGCCATAGTCCTGATCATGTCTGCAGCCCTCTGAACTTGGGGGTTTCATTTGTGTTAACTGCCTTTGTATTTGATGATATGTTGCCTTTTCTCAAATCACTGTTTCTTTATAATTAGGAATCAATTCCACACAAGTTCTTTAGGTGTAGGTTCTACCTTTTTTGTTGTCAGACCTTGTGTTGTTTGATGTGGTGTCTGTACAATTACACTGAAGAGTCTGGGTCTTTAGAATGTAGCTCAGTGAGGAAATCCATAGATTTTTACTGGGTTCTAAGCTCCGGGAGCCTGGGACTTATGTCAGTGTCGTTTCTCTTGTCCTTGCAGCCCAGTGTGGTATGGTGGCTAAAACTTGTTGACCAGATGCAGAGAATCCCTTTGGCCCCTAGCCAGACCGAGAAAGCCACACTTGTCAGCATTTTAAGAGATAATATTAGTGATTTGTTCTCATTTTTATAAGTGAAATTTTATTATCATTGAAGAGTGTGTATGTGAGAGACACAGAGAAGTGGAAGATGTGCAGTATTGCAGGTGGACCTCTACTTGGAAGAGCCTTAGAAGGCCTAGCTCTAGCCACATCAATGTCATTTCCTTGTGGTTTGACCTTGTACAGCAAGCAGGTAAAACTCAAAGGCTAACACAGGCCAAATAAACAAGGTTTAAGTTTATGTGGGCCGCAAAAAAACAAAAGCTTCAATTTTCATAGAAACGTAGGTTTATTTCGATAGAGACATGCTGAATACAAAGGGCTGAAATAAATGAGTAACCGTTAACATAAAATAATAGAACATTTTAATAAAAATTAATTTTTTTAACATTAACTTACCAGACACTGAATAACTGCAGAAATTAAGCGTAACGCAAATAAACCCATTTTTCTTGTTTTCTGAAAGCGAAATATTTCCTGTTGCGCACACCAAACAAGTCAGTCCAAGACTAATGACATGGCAGTGGGCTGCTAAAATATTCGCTGCTAGTATTAGTGGAGAGAAATGGTGCGTAGGCATGACGTAAGGGAAATGAATGCAACATGATTATAGTAATCCAGGGGTCCTCAAACTACGGCCCGCAGGCCACATGCAAATACAAATATTGTATTTGTTCCCGTTTTGTTTTTTTACTTCAAAATAAGATATGTGCAGTGTGCATAGGAATTTGTTCATAGTTCTTTTTTAAACTATAGTCTGGCCCTCCAACGGTCTGAGGGACAGTGAACTGGCCCCGTTTAAAAAGTTTGAGGACCCCTGTAGTAATCAGTCATTAGCAAATGTTGTAGTTTGTTATTAATTATGTATAACAGGATATTGTAAAAATTAAGTTACGAAATTTTTATTAAAATGTTTCTTACATACCGTTATATGGGCTGGGCCGCAAAAATATTCATTGTGGCCCATGGGCTGCAAGTTTGACATGCTTGTACAGGGTCCTCATCCTTTCATGGCCTTGTATTCTTCATCTGTATGACAGGGTTAGGCTAAATGCTCTATAAGGGTTGTTTCAAATCCATCATGACTTTTCAAACTGCATTGATAAATGCTAATTATAGATAAAATTATCCTATATAATAAAAGCCTAATATGCAAATTGCCACCTTGACCAGGAGTTCGACCGATCCCTATGACGTACACTGACCAATAGGGAGCGGCGCGAAACATGGCCGGCATTGGCAACTCGGCGCTGGCAGCAGGTGGCAGTGGAGGCACTGCTGGCCCCAATGGGCCCTGATGAGAGCAGGACCGTGGTGGGATGGTGGAGCAGGTGAGCAGGCGGTGCCAGGCCAAGGTGGGTGCAAGTGGGGCCTGATCGCCCCGCCAATTGCCCTGTGGACGATGACCAGCAGCGATGGTCAGGGGCCTGATGATTCAGGCGGAGGGGGGTGTGTGGGGGCCCGGGGGCCCAGGTGCTGCCCAGGGCTCAGAGGTCAGTTGGGACCTGCCTTTCCATGCCAGACACTTGCACTTCAATTGCTGGCCATGCCTAGGGACCGCACCCATGCACGAATTTCGTGCACCAGGCCTCTAGTAAAACTATAAATATACACATATCACTCCATAATTGTATGGAACTCTATAAAAACTATTTGGAGTTACAAGAGTGGAGAAGTTTGTCGGATTATTTTCTCTGTGATCCCTTTTTGGCTAAGATCAAGTGTAGTATCTGTTCTTATCAGTTTAATATTTTTCTCTATGAAATTAAGTTTATAAAACTTTCAAATGGAGACTCTTTGTTAGCTTAGAAACTTGTAAAGAATGTGTAGTGATAGGGGTCATTACACCTCTTGGCGTAGTGGTTTCCAGCAGTTTTCTTCCTTCAGTTACATCCAGCTGTGGACTCTGGTCTGAGTGAGGGGTGCTCTGGTGGGCATAGAGCCCGGGGACCCTGGGGCTTTGGGAAGAACACAAGTCTGAGACGTGGCCATGTCCTCTCTAAGTAGGACAAAGACTTCGTCTTGCCTATCACATGTGGGGTGAGAGCTCTTGCTAGGCAAGGACCCTGCTATGTGCTGGTGTCAGGTTTGTTCTGAATCCAAACCATTCCCTCGCCGTTGATGTCCTAGTGTCTCTAGGTCAAGTGTGATGATACATTTTAGCCTGACATACCCACTAATTTGTCCCTTTTCCTTCAGAACTGGGTGGTCTTGACCTTGGTGGAGACTGACCCAGGAACCAGATGAGCAGAGACTTCTGTGTCCACACCTGGCCATGCTCCTATTATTTGGAACTTGAGAAGCGATGGGTTCCTGGAAAACTTTGGTTAACTTCACTCTCACTAAAATTTCTGACTGATAAAACTGGAGACTTTCTTGTCAGCTTTTCTCTTGCTGATATAATTGAGATCAAGAAAGAAGCTTCTCATTTTATCTTCAGTTCTGTCACCATCCTGGAAAAGGGCCATGTCAAGCACTGGTTCAGTTCCTTGCAGCCTAATCGGAATGTCGTTTTCCATATCATCGAACACTTCTGGAGAGAGTTGCTGCTATCTCAACCAGGAGGTGCTGTGGAGGCGTCATCCTCCCGCATGACCAAGGGGAAGGAGCTGACTGGTCTAATGGCCTGTTCCCAGAAGCGTCTAGAAGATGCAGCCAGAGTCCTACACTACCAGGGTGAGCAGCTGGACAGCATAACGAGCAGCCTGGACAATATGGAGTCTGACCTGGATGTGGCTGACAGGTAGAGAAAAGTACTGCAGCCTTAAGCTGCTCTTTTGGTGTATTCCATATCCCATATTTAATACACATTCAGAAAACATGGGTTATACCTGCTGTGGACAGTTATACTGGGCTGGATGCTCTGGGTATACAGACAGTAAGGGCACTGTTGCCAGATTTAGTGTAAGTCTTTAATGACGATCACCTTATTCAGTCACCAGACAAGCAAAGAAGAGCATGGGGAAACTTGAGTCTGAGAGGCCAAGGAATTTGTTTGAGATCACACACACTAAGTTTGTTAGCATAATTTATTTTTTTAGTAGTTTATTTTTTTATATATATCTGTGGAGCAGCCAGGTTTCAAGGGAAACATTTTGGCTCCAGAAGTTACCACCTGAGCTGCTGGACCAGCAACTCTCAAAGCTTGGGTCTTGGGGCACTTCTACTCTCTTAAAAATTGAGGCTCCAAAGAGCTTTTATGGGTTATGTTATATTGACCATGTTTTCTAAAACTAAAAAATTAAAAATATTATCATTTAAGAGTAAAATAATAAACTCATGACTTAGTAATGTAAGTGACATTTAAAAAATAACACCTTTATATTATTATATTATTACCAGAGGCCCGGTGCATGAAATTTATTCACAGGTACGGTCCTTAGTCCTGGCCGGCGATCAGGGCCGATCTGTGGGGTGACCAGTGGAGTGATCGGGGGCCCCCCGCTGGCACCCGCCTTGGCCAGCCTGGTGCTGCCCATTTGCCAGCCCTGCCCCCCGCCACTGCTGCTGGTCACTTCCAGGGAGGCGACTGGTGAGGCAATGGGGGGGGGACCCCCACTGGCACCTGCCTTGGCTGGCCTGGGGCCTGCGGGCTGGGGGTAGCTCCTGCATTGAGTGTCTGCCCCCGGGTGGTCAGTGCGTGTCATAGCGACTGATCGTTCCACCGTTCGGTTGATTTGCAAAATGGCCCCTTGGGTGGTCATTTGACCGGGAGTTCAACCGGGAGACTGGGAGTTTGACCGCTTGCTATGACGTGCGCTGACCACCAAGGGGCGGCGTGGAACATGGCAGGCATTGGCAACGTGGTGCTGACAGTGGGCAGCAGTGGAGGTGCTGCCAGCCCCGATGGGCCCCAATGAGAGCGGGACTGCGGGGGGATGGTGGAGCAGGTGAGCAGACGGGTGGCGCCAGGCCAAGGCGGGTGTGAGCGGGGGCCCAATCGCTCCACTGATTGTCCCGCAGATGGTGACCAGCGGCGGGAGTGGGAGCGGGGCTGCCACCTGGCTCCCTGGTGCTGAGGGAACTGGGTGGGGGGCCTGGGCCCGATCAATCATCCCGCAGGCGGGATGGTGGAGCAGGTGAGGGGGCAGTGCCAGGCCAAGGCGGGGAGCCAGGCAGAGCTGCAAGGCTGGGGGTGCAAGCTGTGGCTGTGAGGCTGGGGGTGCGAGCTGGGGCCCGATCTCTACAGGCCACCCCAAGTGACCCCACCCATGCACGAATTTGTGCACCAGGCCTCTAGTCCTGTGGTCGGCAAACTGCAGCTCGCGAGCCACATGCGGCTCTTTGGCCCCTTGAGTGTGGCTCTTCCTAAGCCTTAGGAGTACCCTAATTAAGTTAATAACAATGTACCTACCTATATAGTTTAAGTTTAAAAAATTTGGCTCTCGCCCTGACCGGTTTGGCTCAGTGGATAGAGCGTCGGCCTGCGGACTGAAGGGTCCCAGGTTCGATTCTGGTCAAGGGCATGTACCTTGGTTGCGGGCACATCCCCAGTGGGAGGTGTGCAGGAGGCAGCTGATCGATGTTTCTCTCTCATTGATGTTTCTAACTCTCTATCCCTCTCCCTTCCTCTCTGTAAAAAAAATCAATAAAAATATATTTTAAAAAAAATTTGGCTCTCAAAAGAAATTTCAATCATTGTACTGTTGATATTTGGCTCTGTTGACTAATGAGTTTGCCGACCACTGCTCTAGTCTATATATATAAAAACCTAAAAGACCAAATGACCAAACAACTGGTCGATCAGTCGCTATGATGTGCAATGACCATCAGGGGGCAGACGCTCATCGCAGGAGCTGCCCCTGGTGGTCAGTGCGTTCCCACAGCGGGAGTGCCGCTCAGCTGACCATTGGGTGCCAGATGCCGGGCTCACAGTTGACAAGCGCTGTGGCGGTGCGAGCCTCTCCTGCCTCCGCAGAAGTGCTACCGAGTGGCGGCGACAGCAGCAGGCACCTGGCCTGGGCTTGGGCTCCTCCCCAGCCACCTGCTGCTACCGGTACTACTACATCCCCCAAGGGGTTCCAGATTGCGAGAGGGTGCAGGCCAGGCTGAGGGACCCCACTGATGCATGAATCCATGCACCAGGCCTCTAGTATTACATAATAACCTGTTCAGTGAAGAATAGCACTGTTTGAGACATTGCACCTCTGTAAAGTGAGGCTTAGCAGAAGACATTGGGTTCCCATGCCTGCTGCTGCAGTGAGTGCTCAGTGCCCTTATAAAACCCCTGCCTGCACTGAGATACTAAGATGGGCTTTGGTACGAGAGTCCCCCGTCTTCTCAGGTGACCAGCACTTTAATAAACCTCTCTTTTCACTAGTACCTACCTCACAAGTTTGGCTTTTGTGGTGACAGGCAGTTGAACCTGGGATTTAGTTTTTCTTTCTCTATTTTTATTGTATTTTTTATTGTTGATAGTATTATAGATATCTCCCCTTTTTACCCCCTTTACCCTAATCCTCCCAGCCTCTACCAACCCCCCCATGTCTTCACTACCCAATTACCTGTGTCCATACTATGCCTATCTATAATAATAAAAACATAATATGCTAATTAGACAGGACAGCCAAATGACCTTCTGGATGTCCTTCCAGATGACCTTCTGGAACCACCAGTGGGCTGTAGCAGGGCCAGCGAGCCTGCACCGCCAGGCCAGCCATGGCGGTCCTGGCCCTCCCCCCTCGCCCCCCCTTCCGCAGAGGCCACGGAAGAGGCCATGGTGCATCCCAGTCCCCTTCCGGAGAGGCGGCGGGAGAGGCTGCGCCAGCACCGGGCCTGCACCTCCACCCATCCCGGCACCACTCCTTCCGCAGAGGTGACTGGAGAGGCTGTGGTGCAGGCCTGGTCCCGGTGCCACACCTTCCGCAGAGGCGGGGGGGATGGGGTAGCACAGTTCCCAGAGCCTCCGCAGAGGCGGGACAGGGTGCGACCACGGCGCCTCAACCTCCCACGGCCCCTCCCCCAGCCAGGCCGGCCCCAGATCACTCCCCCTCACCAGTGGGTGGGGGGCAGGGCCAGCACTAAGGAGCAGTGAGCCTGGCTTCTGGTTGAGTGGCACTCTGCCCCCAGCCCCATCTCAGCCAGAAGCCGGGCTCACTGCTAGCGAGTGTGGCGGAGGTAGAGTGAGCCTCTCCCGCCTCCGCAGCAGGCGGGGCGGTAAGGAGGGAGGGGTCATGGACTGCAAGAGCCCCAGACTGCAAGAGGGATGTCTGAGTGTCAGCTTAGGCCCGATCCCCGGGAAGTCCTGGACTGTGAGAGGGTACAGGCCAGGCTGAGGGAACAGCCCTCTTCTGTGCACAAATTTCGTGCACCCGGCCTCTAGTCTCTATATATGAAAGCCTAAGCGACCATTACAACCGGCCGGTAGCTATGACACACACTGACTACCTGGTGGCAGACACTCAATGCAGGAGCTGCCCCCTGGTGGTTAGTGCGCTCCCACTGCCAACCTCCCTAGTTCAGCCAGCCTCCTGTGGTCCCTTCCCCTGGCCGGCCAGGTGGTCTGTGCGCTCCCACAGCCTACCTCCCATGGCCAGCCAACCTCCCGAAATCCCTCCCTCTCCCCGGCCGGCTGGCCCCGATTGGGACTGGGCAAGATGGCCCCGATTGCCGGCCAGGCCGAGGGACCCCACCCATGCATGAATTCGTGCACCAGGCCTCTAGTAAGTATATAAGTTCTTTGGTTTATCTCTTCTCGTCCCCTGAATCCCACATCAAGGTATGTCGGTCTGTTCCATGACTCCCTGCTTTGGGTTGTATTTTGTTGGTCAATTCATTCTGCTCATTAGATTCCATAAATAAGTGAGATCATGTTATATTTGTCTTTCTCAGATTGGCTTATTTTACTTAGCATAATATTTTCCAGGTCTATCCATGCTGTTCCAAAGGGTAAGAGATCCCTCTTTTTTACAGTTGCATAGTATTGCATTGTGTAAATGTTCCACAGCTTTTTTATCCATTCATCTACTGATGGGCACTTGGGCTCTTTCCAAATCTTAGCTTTTGTAAATAACGTTGCTGTGACATAGGGGTGCATATATTCTTTCTGATTGGTGTTTTGGGGTTTTTAGGATATATTCCCAGAAGTGGGATTGCTGGCTCAAAGGGAAGTTCCGTTTACAATATTTTGAGGAAACTCCATACTGTTTTCCATAGTGGCTGCACCAGTCTGCATTCCTACCAGCAGTGAACTAATGTTCCCTTTTCTCCACATCCTCACCAGCATTTGTTGTTTGTTGATTTTTTTATGATAGCCATTCTGACATGTGTGAGGTGATATCTCATTGTGGTTTTAATTTGCATTTCTCTGATAATTAGTGACTTTGAGCATTTTTTCATATGTTTCTTGGCCATTTGTATGTCCTCTTTGGAGAAATGTCTATTCAGGTCTTCTGCCCATTTTTTAATTGGATTGTTTGTCTTCCTTTTGTTAAATTGTATGAGTTCCTTATAACCCCTAATTGGATGCATCACTGGCAAATATGTCCTCCCATACAGTAGGTTCTCTTGTCATTCTGATAGTGGTTTCTTTTGCTGTGCACATGCTTTTTATTTTGATGCAGTCCCATTTGTTTATTTTCTCCTTAGTTTCCTTTGCCCTAAGAGATATATCCGTAAACATATTGCTATATGAGATGTTTGAGATTTTACTGCCTGTGTTCTCTAAGTTTTTTATGGTTTCATGCCTTACAGTTAAGTCTTTTATCCATCTTGAGTTCATTCATATGTAGGGTGTAAGCTGGT